CTCGCCCTGTGGTGGAATTCTTTGCCGCACGCGTTTTTAGCACATTTGGATGCGGTCATGAGAAAAAACATGCGGCAATACCGTGCCAGGGTTGCAATTTAGGCTCCGCCCCTTACCCCGCCCACTTTTCTCCGGAGTTGTTTTTCCCCGGAAATTTTTTCTTCGGAATTTGCGGGGTCTCGCTAATGCTGGAGAAAAACTTGTTGTTTTCATGAAAATTGTAAATAATATATGCAAAATATGCGAAAGATTGTTTTCCTGAAATTTCGGATCTATGAAACTTAGTATCACCCAAAATTGGCCTTTTCCAGTTCTGATTTAATTCATGAAAATATTTATAGGTTTCAATGGTTCTTGCTCAACTTTCCAAACGGATAATTACTGCACAAATTCGAAGTTTAACAAACACAAGTCAAGAAGCTGGATTAGTTCATGTTGAGAAGCAATTCGAAGCAGTGGTGCCTGAAAAAAGAGATAAAGATGCTTTTATGGCAGCCATAGGTCGGTTAGAGTATTCTTCATATTTAAAATTAGCCGAGTTTCAGCAACGTTCAAAGAAAAGCGTGGTCGAACGCATGTTGAATTCATCAATACTGCGCTGAAGTATGTAAAAGATTATAGAGTTCACAAAGACCTGGATACATACAAAAGTTTGCTCGATGTGTTTCCTAAAGGAAAGATGATCCCGCAAACAGCGTTTCAAAAAGTGTTTCTACATTATCCACAACAACAAAACTGTGCAGTTAAAGTATTGGATGAAATGGAGTGGCATGGTTAGTGGATTCATTCAAGAGTTTCCATTAACAACAAATATAGTTCAGGAGTCCAACCAGACAAAGAAATTCACGACATTGTTGTGAATGCTTTCGGAGAGTGGAACTTCGCTACGAAGAAAGTGAAAAGGATGCTTTACTGGATGCCTAAGCTGAAACATTCTAATAAATATCTTGACAGGCGGCATCTGGAAGGTATACCAAATGTTTTCATCCTTTAAATACCTGAAACTTTTTTCAGGAAAGTCTCTTTCCCCATCTGAATTGGCTGGAATAGCATTAAAAATGATGAGCCGAGATCCTGCTACATCGATTTCACTTCTAAAATTGTCAGACAATTCGGATCCAGTGGATAAGTGGTTCGCTACGTCCCAAAGTCCGTCTCAACAGTTACTGCTCTCCGAACTGCAAAAAGGTGAAGAAGTCTTCGTGGATGGTGGGAATGTTTATGTGCAGGACAAATTGATTCCTTTTGTAACTCTAACCGGAACTACCAAACTTTCACCGCTCAATGAATTCAAAAAAGAAGAGCTCGACGAAAATTATTCAAATTGGTTCGAAGAATGGAAGAAAGAAAGACACGAAGCAAAAAGGTCGATTCATCAGCAAGACCATGAGACAGTATTCGCCATGGGTGCCATGTTCCAAAATGATAATGCAACAGCACTCCGTTGGATGGATCAACTTCAAAAAAGAAACCCAAACTTGGAAAATTTGAGAATTAGAGTTCGATTAGATGGAAAATCATGGCTTTCATAATATTTTATTTGCGAGGCTGGTTCCGGGTTTTTAGAAGCAAGATCGATATTAAAACATGTAATAAATACTGTTGAAAAAAATCATGAACTTGAATTATGCCTTTTTGTGAAATTATTTCTTTTTGTTTCCCTTCTTTGGGGCAGTTGATGCGGTGATACCAGCAACCTCCTTAAATGCGACCACATACTTTTGGGCGACTGGCATCGGTGGGCAGTAACCAGAATTGTAGCTATCATCTTCGAAAGCCACTTGGTATGGTTCTCGGAAATCTGATGGAGGAGAATGGACTATTCCTGAAAAAAAGGAAGAATTTCATTCAATATGATTGATAACAACGATACCTTTATAGAAGCACGTTGTTTGAGGATATAAAGCGAGAACTATGGCATTTTTTGCGAACAAAGCATGCTTATCCGAATCTGGGTTGGCCTTCCATTTTGGTAGAGGAATAAGATGACTTCTGGAGAAGACAGCTAGCTTCTTCGATTCACCATCGACATCTTTGCATTCGTATCGGGAATTGGAATTGCACGACATGATGTCTGCCAAAATCCAAATTTCTGTTTTATCATTAAATGCCGCAACTGCATCTCCTTCATTTAATTTCGATCCTTCGTGTGGTGCGATAGCTCCGACATATTCTCCGGGAAAACCTGAGCTTTTATTGACCCATAAGGGAAGAAGTTCGCCTCGAATTTTGATTAACTCCATTAAATCTCGCCGACTCAAGTCTCCTTCCATTTGTGATCGATAGTCTACTTCAGAAGCACGTCGTAGCTCGTCGAGAATCTTTCTGAAATATTTTAGCGTATGTTAAGGTTACAATTCGACAAAAAACTCACTTTAATTCTATTTGTTGAGCTGTTACTGCTCCGTGGGTGCTGGTGACAGCAGCAAGATGTTTCGTCTGAAATCGTTAAAAACATGAATGAAGTCAGATTTCAGCAGAAAATCTTACTTTTCCTTTTCCCATTGGGTTTGGTTCATTATCGCGAAATTCTTGAAGACGTTTAAGATTTTCATTGACAATATCCTGCCTTTCTTTTATATCTGGTAACTGAAAACATAAATTTTTGAAGAAATCTATGATTCAACCACAAACCTTTTTCAGCAGATCTTCGGCAGTTTTCTTTCTCATCTCTTCAACGGCTTGAACGCTGTTCTTTTGTTTCGGCATATCGATTCTTCAGGTTGAATGTCGTTTTCAATGAAGAAGTAATGACTGGCGACGTTGGTGAGAGAGCAGGCAAGACGCAAAGAAAACAGAGAGAAAAAGGGGGGTCAGTGAGAGGGGACGAGTGAAAGGAGGAGGGATAGCGTATTTTTGAAAGAAACGGTGTTCAAGAGGCTTGAAAGGTTAAATACAGAGATGAGCGGAATGAACATTTAAAAATTCGGAATAAGGAATAAGGAAGAGGGAAAAAATATGGAAGAAGGGATGAAAGGAATGGGATGGAATAAGGAAGAAGGAAGGGACTGGAATGAATGAAGAATTCGGAAGACGGAAGACGGAAGAAGGAAAAATAAATACAAATATAACATCCGGAAGAAAGATTAAGGAACGAAAAAACAGCCAAAAGGAGGAAGACGGAATAAGAAACACAATTTTGAAAAAAGTCTAATTTAAAAAATTGAGAATCGCATAAAAAGGAAGTTTGGCTTCTCAAACGACATTAGATTGAGAAAATGCTTTTTTGAAAAATATAACTTTTTCGAATTATCGGAAAGAATGGGAAAAAGTTTTTAAAAACGGAAGGAAGAAGAGGGATTGAAGATATAAAATCTTGGAGGAGAAGGAATACGAAATTCCGTTCATTTTTGGTTAAATACTGTGAAATAATATTTGAATTTGAATGTTTATGGGGATATTCATGATACTATCTAAAAGGTGTATTTTCCATCGAATTGGATGCTTCCTTCCTTCTTACTCTCAGAAATTGATTTCATTGCGATCTCAACCTGAGTGAGACACTCTTCATTCTCTGAAGCCAAATGTTCACTTGATTCATCCAGGCAAACAATCAAATTATCTACACAATCTTCATAGTTTCGAGGATTCCGATCAGGAAGAAGTCTCATATAACAGATCATATGGTTGTATGCACAAGAAGAAAAAGTGGCTGCAACAAATCTTGTTTTATTTATTTGCCAAATAATCGTTACTGTTCATTTTTGGACATTTTTCATATAATTCCAAGTAGTTCTTTTCAACAGTCTTATTGAGGGCAGGAGCGTAACCGGCGATTGGTTTTTTTGCATCTAAAATGTTCTCAATCTACGTTGTTCTCTTTTTCCTAACGCTTAAACTAACTGGA